TTAAGATTTAGTAAATGTTTTAGAAATTGAGTGATTTGTTATGACATTTGAGTTTAACACTTATATCATTATTATAGTTACATTTGCGTGGATACTGCCTTCACTGTAAAGCAAATGGTTTTTTCAAATGTTATTTGGAGTTGTCAATAAGGTTTCTTTTCACTAAGTTTTTACTACATTCCATTGTTTGTGGACTGATTTACTTCAGATTAGTCACTGAAGTTGCTTGCTTACAAGATATTTTTATTTTTCATTTTACATTTAGAGGAAAGTAGATTTTGCTATGTGGAATAATTCTTTTCCGTTTTTTCTTTATTTTTTCTCGTTTTAATTATTACACATTGTAGGACTATATACATTTTTAATAGGAATGTGTTATGCCAAATGTTTCTGTTACAAATTTTATGTTTTTTTAATGTCCATGTTAGTGAAAATTTTAAGTTTACGTATGCTGCTGTGTTAATCATTTCAGTTGTTATTTTTTGATGAATTTCTATTATTTCCTCTTTTCCTTTTTGTGAGGAAGCATGGTCTCACAACATATTGTGTTAAATATTTATACTGCATATAATGCTGAAAATTTGTAAGAAATTGGATAAATATGGGGTCATGATGCATTTGGGCAAATATTAATTTGAAATGTTAAACTTCAGGAACACAAGCATTATTTGCAAATAAATAACTCATCAGTTGTTTTAATATTGAGATTAATAGAGTGAATTTCACAGTTGTAGGTATTTTTTAAGTATAAAACTGATTAATTATATTATTTTATTAATTATCATCTTGTTAAGTTTCAAGGCAAATTCATTTTTTGCTCTTACTGTACCAATTGTTTTATTAAACATAATATTTTTTTTTAGTTAAGGATTTCTAAATCTTCTTAATAGATTATTGTTTAAAAATTGAAATAATTTTATAGCTTTCAACCTAATGATTAATTTATCAGCAGTCAAAAGTAATTTTAGAAATATAATTTCTCATATGAACCAAAATGCATTTTCAATGTGAGGTTCTATGTACTGTTCTAATGCATCCAAGTATTACACTAAAAACAAATAAGCGATATTAAGAGTTTTTTATTTACTAAAATACTTCTGGTCTGTGCTGAATATAATTCTTAAATCCCATTTCCCCATACATTAAAGCAGTATTATGCAAAAAGTTGTTCAAATATTACACTCTAGTGTGCAAAACATTGAAATATTAAGTAGATATGTACTAATGAACATTAAAATAGATTTTAAAATTTTGGAATGTATGTTATTTGGAAGTGTGTTGCTAATTTATTATTTCAAATGTAGATTGTATGGTACAAAAAATTAAAATAATCTTAAAATTATCTTCTCTTAATGGTATTAATGTAGATGTAATTATGAAATCTTATTTAATGACCCAGTTTTTTAACTCTTTAAGAATAAATGACACTTGAAATTAAATTACTGACTGAATTCTTTATGAATGCATAGTTACTAGCTGAAGAAATATTGATATTGTAATTTTTTTATAAGTCCTTTAATATATATAAAAAAATCTTTCATTAATTTCGGTAATTGTTTTCTAAAACTCTACTTAATTTGACATCATAAATTAAATTATCAATAATTTAATAATTATGAAATTTATATGATTGTTTTCCAGTACAGTAAAATCCCATTATAAAAGATATTTATAGATCTAGATTTTTGTCTCTTTCAAGAAGGAACTCTTATAAGTGGGAAATCCTAACACAAATTCCTATGTATATTCACCTTAGGTATCATACATTTTTACAGTCTAGATTTCACAAATTATGTATTTTTCTAATATTGACATTAACTTTTGATTTTTATGGATAGGGGAACGAATTGTTAATTGTGTATCACCTTGCTCCATGCAAAGTATATAATGCATTAAGATGCATTGTTATGTCATATACTTTGTTTAATATTGTTTACACGGTTTCTACTTTCCTGAACATGATGAGAAACAGCAGGAAGGAGCTCTCAAGGGGAACTGCATTCTAAAGCATCTTCCACAAAACAAAGTGCAGCGAAAGTTACTTCAGATTTTCACCTTTCACAGTTGAACTGGATTATTTCTAGAATAGAATTTCTGTGTACGGGAATCCTTTTGTATATATCTTCAGTGAACGGTGCTTCAAGAAAAACATAAATGGTTTGCCATCGGAACACTTACCATTACAATTCCTGATTTTTATTTGGGGTGGAAAAATTCCTCTGCAACAAGTCAGGAAACTCATATGACTGGGCTGCAAGAGAGAAGAAAATGCAGATAATTTGTATATAGGGATTAAGGTCAGCCTTTGTTTCAAAAAGGATTCTGTAATAAGTAGGTTCTCTGTTCTCCTATAATGGGTTTTACTGTATTTTTGTTTTTATTGGTTAGCAGTTCCTTCTTTTTCTTTTGAATGAATTTTTCATTCTGAGCATCCTAAGAATAATAATAGATGTTTCTCTTTGAGAAAATAAAAATTTAAAGTAGAAACTGAAATAATAAGGAATGAAATTGATGAATTTACGTTGAAAATAGATCAGTTGTGAATGCAAAAATTATTTAATGCAGAATAATTAATGCTCAAACTATATTTCAAGTTGTCATAGAGTGATGACTGTGGTCACATCTCCAACATAGCTCATTCAAAACAAAAGAGACAATTTTCTTTTAACCTTCCAAGAATCTAACACAATCTAAAGCTGTATGAAAATAAATAATTGAGAACATGTATGTGTATGTGTACATACATTTTTGTTTGTGATGTATTTTGATTCATGAAAAATCCTTTTCGTGGTAATATATTGAACATTTTTATGCATTTTACTCAAATATAACATAAATTTAATTTTTAAATAAGAGACTTTGTGCTGCTCATTAATATCAAGATTTGGTCAAATAACGGATTATAAAATGTAAATTTCATTTGCGCTTACTTCTACAAGCAGATGCTATAGGTGAATTTGTATTATATCTTATAATGTTAACTGCATAATTGTATTATATTCATTTTGCCCTTTTTTAAAGTTCTGGAATCTTTCATGTGTGAAATTACTTATTGTAATGATACTGCCAATGCACTTTAATGATACTTTTAATTTTATTTCATTTTCTGTTCAAAATTAATTGTACATGATGATGTTGATCATTATCATCATCATCATGAACAAGTTATTGTTAGGTCCTTTGAACTTGTTCCTAATATTTCAGCCAATTTTCCATCACCAATGAATAGTTCATAAAACTCTCATCTGTTATTGTAGTCCTGGGTTCATCTCTTCTTCCCTCTCTCTCTCTCTTTCTGTCAGTTAATCTCTTTTTTCTCTTTTTCCCTCTTCGCAGTGAGTTTGTATTGAAGTATTTCTCTTGGATTAGGAACTTTCTTACAAGTAAATAAAAGCATCACTTTCATACTTCATTGCAGAATATCTTGCTATACAACATGAAATGAACATCTGCATTATATTGTAATGTGTCTCTCTCATTGTAAAAATTTTCAGAGAGCCACTATTAACAGTCAGAGAATGAATTGTACATAATTTTCCTACTTATCTTGTTCTCTCCACTTTTTTTTCTCTTCTTTTCTTGTTACCTCCAATTACCTGTTCCTTCCTCCTCCCTCCCCTCTTATTCTCTTTCCAACTTCTATTTTTTATCTTTTCTAAAGTGCCTTGCTTATATTAAAAATTTATTTTCATGTTTTGCCATGTTTCTATTAAGTATTTCACAAAATTGAAACGGTTTTACCACCTTTAATTTGATGAATTCTTTTTCTTCTTGTTTGTCTTCTTCTTCTTCTTCTTGGTTTAATTTTTTTAAATAAATTAAGTATCATTATACTTGACACATGAAAAATTTGAGAATATATAAATTATCTGAAATTAATTATTTGCATATATAATATTTCAGATTGCTGAGCAATTGTATAGGATACACATGAATATTTTCCCCATCCACTAATTGTATGCAAATCATAAAAGTATCAAGAAATACATAATCATTAAATCATGATCTGCATGTGATTTCAGTGGATGCCAAACAATGAAAATAAATTGATTGAAAATGAGTAAAATTATTTTAGAACATTTAAATTTCTAACTTGAAACTTTTGGACACTGGAATTTTGTAGAATTGGTAGAACACACTCATAACTGAGAAATTTATAATCTTTATAACTCAAGAATTTAATTCACAACAAAGATGGTGGTACACAATCATTAATACTATTGAATTAATACTTTTCTATTTGCTTTTACAGGGTTTCTCATGAATGAGTGTGTTTCATATCATAAAAATTCAAAATAACATGTTTTATATTCAATTAATTACATTTTCCATTACTTATTTTTTAAATTAAACAAAACCTTTTGAATATCCTTCACCCACTCAGTCAGAAATGTTTTCACTGCTTCCATATTTCTAAAAGACAATTACTTTCTTGTAAGTGAACTCTTGAAATTTTATTTTATTAAGTTTGAAGAAAATAACATTATTTCAGGCAAAAATGAAATATTACTAAATATTTTTGTCATGTTGGTACGGGGTAATTCGTGTCTACTTTGATTGTTGCATTAATTTATTTTGGTATTTTTACAATTCAAAAACAAAAATTAGATTAGTTTGTATGATTGACCTGACTGAGAAATTTGGAAGAAGAGGAAAAATATTTTTGCTGTGTGGATTGTTTTATCGGTGTATTTGCCATGATCCATGTACCTTACCTGCAAGTGTTTGGATGTTGTATGTCCTTGGTTCTGAAGTGTTTGGATACTTCTTTATTTAATAAATTAAGTGTGTATCATTATAGAACACATTTGAAGTTTCCCTTTGTGTATTACCAACCTGTTCTAAAACCATTTTCTTACATTTCCTAATTCTTATGCCTATTGTAAAGTTGTTTGTGGTATTGATGGTAATTGGTAACTTCAGTTTACTGTGATTGTGCATTCTTCTTTATTTGTCTTTATTATTTGTGTTTTTCTTGGTTTCTTCACTATTTGTTCTAGTATGACAACCAAAGCACATTATACAAGAATACTCTCCACTACATGAACATCGGGTTTACCAGCATGTTTACCATTGAGTGTATTCTGAAGATTGTGGCTTATGGAGTTCGGGTAAGATAACACCACCATTGTAGTGAATTAGTTAAAAGCACAAAATGAATGAAAGTGAAAAGAGAGAGTGAGAAAAGAATGTAGAGAGAGTGAGTTGATGCAAGCATGATTTAAAGTTATGGTAGTGTGATGATCTGACTTCGTTAAGCAAAATGTCTTAATGTAATAAATGAGTTGAGAATAGTGTGATAAGTCAAGAAATATTTCAAAAAGATAGTTATTAGTAAATATATTTACTGCACATCTTACCTTCATTGAAGTGGAAAATATATATATTTTAATTTGATTTAATAAAATTATAGTTCTCATAACAACTTGTAGTTTACTTCTCAGAAATGCTAATTATAGTAAGAATGTATTTTAAATATGCATTTGTAATGAGGAAATTGAATAACGGTGGAAAATCTCTGAGAAATGTATTTTATGGTATTAAAAGCTACTTCTCGCTAGGGTAACATGTGAAAAATAGTGATAAAAAGTATTCAAATGGAATATAATGAATTATTGAAGACTATTGATACGTTTTAATTTTGAGAAAAAATTGTGCATACAGACATTTTGAGAAATTGTCCTAGTTGTCTTTCAAATTAGAAAAGACCAAAGGAAAATTACTGGGTTGAATTTCAGTTGATACAAATTTTCATAGTAGATATTTTAGTTAATACTTTCTTTTGGCATGTTACTATAGATTTGTTGTAGCTTTTAACATCAGTAGTCAAAGTGATTTCAAAAGTAGAAGATTCACAATATTGTATTGATATTCTCTCATGTACTTTATTTATAAATGTTTCTGTGTGTAATACTCCTAAGAGAAGAGCTTTGGTAGGTAATAACATCCATCATATTTTGAAACTTATTAAGCCTTCTGTTTTTAAAACTATAATAGTTATACGTGCTTTTTTATGCTCTACATTTGGAAAACCATTTTCCCCATGAGTGATAAATTATCAATTGAAGAACCAAAACATTTCCTTTTACAATAGAAATGACATTTAAATTACCTCCCTCAATATTTCTACATGTGCTCAAGTATCCCCAAATTTCCAACCATTTTTACCTTTGTATTCCTCTTCCCTCTTAGAAAAGCATGGAACATAATGAATATGAATAGGATATGTTATGTTTGCATGACATGAAAGAATGCATGGCTTGATGCTGTTACATAACAAAGCATGATGTAATAAAATGAAGCGATTGGAAATGAATGGCATTGCATGGCATGTTACGGCATGATACACGTGTAGCATGACACAGCATCATGTGGCAAAACACAGGCATGGTGGTATGTGATGAAGCTTTAATTCAACGTTTGCATTGTGCATGTTGTTTTTGTTTGTTTTTTTGTTTGTTTGTTTTTTTTTAATTTTTTATGAATATATATATTCCATTTTATTATATGTTGGTTCTGGAAAACTGCATTGTACAATTGCACGCAGCATGAATTATTGATGAAACAGAAGCATCTGAACAAGAAAAATAGCATGAGAAACCTTTAATCTATTAACAAGAAATACCTCGTCCAAAAAGCATAGTGGAAACAGAATTGGTGTTGATATGTCAACAACTGATTGCAGAAGTAAATTCTAATATAGCCACACATATGCATCGCATGCTTCAGTCTTGAAATGTTGGTATTGTTTTACAGTTTTGAATTTGAATACTTAAACTTGTTTTTATTTCAGGGTGATCAAATGATTACTTATAACAACTTGGGTATGCTGTCAGGTGGTCTTGCTGATTTGTACATTAAGTTTACACTGTAGACTTATCTCATTCCCATTAGTGTTTTAGAAACTTGTGCCCATCTGTAGTGGTGAGACTCTCACTAAGTAATTCATCCACTGCACTGAAAAAAAGGAATGTTTATCTTCATTCTCCTGTGATTATTTTGTCATGTACACAGATTTATATACTAAATTATATTTGTCATATCTAGGTACCTCTATAGTTGGCTGTAAATTACTACAAATATATTCACATTAAGTGACCCATGTTGTTTGAACTCCTTTAGCAAAATAATTTGTTGTATTTAATGCCTGCTTTGTAGTTTCTTTAAATATGTATTTCAGTATATCTTTTGAACTTATTATAATTGCAAGTATTTTTACTAGAGTCAGAAGGGCTTCTTTTATTTTACTCACTTGTTCCACATGGTTTGCAATATGTCACCGATATCTGAATTATTTCTTTCCAAATCACTAGAAAATATCTAATTTAATTTTTAGTAAAGCTTGTTTTCTTCGCAATATTCTATTAGACTAATTATTATCTTATCACTTTTGAAAGTATGAAGAAGGCCTTCACCATATCCAATCCACTTGAAACTGGAGTGTTTATTTCCAATATCTGCAAAAATCTGAGCAAGTACTTAGTTACAGAATGCAAGTGATTACAATTCACAGTTGATTGCTGACTATGTCTTGTTTTTTGCTCACAAATTATATTCTTAGTAAATATATTCTCTCTAATATTTACTAAACAATTTAATCTATCAGACCCACATGGCTCAATGTAACACCTTTCCAAATATACCTTTAGCTTCCAGTATCCTTTCTTTTTTTTTTCCATTCTTTTTACTAGAATCAAATAGCTTAAAAAAGTGGTTCTGTTTTCACTTTGGATCTGTATAGGATAGTAATCAGACTTAATTCCTCAGTTCACCCTCTCATTATAGGGCCTTATCTTAGATTTTTGTAAATGAAATAAGAGTGATGTATATTTTTGTGTATAATATGTGTTTAAGACTGCATGTGTTTCATTAGATATTTTGTTTTCCGTATCTTATTTTATACTTCATGTAATGAGATTGTAAGTGAGCTTTTTTATTATTATTTTTTTTTGTTTTTTTTTTTTGTTTTTTTTTTTGTTTTTTGTTGTTTTGTTTTTGTTTTTGAAAGACATTGATCCATACACTTAAAAAATGTGTTTTTTTTAAATCTGTTGCCAAATTTACACATGTAACAATGTATACAAATCATTACTTTATATTAATCAAATTTATACATATAATTATTTAAGAAGTGAATAGACATTGTTTGACCAAATCATATTCTAAACCTTAAGCATTTTATTACTAATAACTTTGTAAACTGTATTATTTTTCAAAATATTTGAAATTTCAAAGGTACCATAACATTTTGAAAAGAACATTCTTACGAGACACTTATCTTCAATATAAACAGAAGCATATATTCATCAAATTTTTACTTCTTTTATAAAGATTTTAAGAAAGAAGATATATTTTTTTAAATAATTAGAAAAGAAATCCAAGAAAACCAAAAATTGATTTCTAACTTCTGTTATTTTTCAAAACTTTATTCTGAAATAAATTTCATGAGTGTAGTGTAAATATTATTAATTTATTCTTTAGTGTTTTATTTATACCTAACACTGAAAGCTGCTGAAACAGTTTCTGAATTATAAATCCTCAGTGTATTATGATGTTAATAGATCTGGTGAATGAGGATAGAGATTTCTTTGAAAGTTCACATGAAGTGGTGTTTATGTCTTTCAAAATTTTGAATGGAATTTGCAAGTATTCAATATAACTTTTCTTTGAATCTATTCTAAACTGTTCAATGTTGAACTGTTTCATATGTTTCATCAATTTGTTTGGTATTGAACTGATTGTTGAAAGAAACAATAGAACAGTTTTGCAAATTTCCTCAAAAACAATTTCTTTCCCCAGATTGTAGGATTTTTGAATTTTATACTTTCTTTAAATTATGTTTAAGAGGTTGTCAATTCTGATATATCTTTCCCATTACTTTTGACTTTGTATTTTTAATGACTGAGGTGGCTTCATAGTTATAGTATAGAGTGTTTTCCTCTTCTGTTATTCCAAAATTCCTTTATCAAAGCTTTGTGAAAACTTTTGGTAACTAGTGACGTGTTAAAAGATGCTCATCATTCACAAACCCAAAACATAAAATAATTTTTTTCAGCAGCTTTTAGTATCATGATTCAGTAACACACTGTGGAATAAAAAATATTCTTGATGGTTCATAATGGCACCTTTTGAATTTGTTCTTCAATCTGTTCAGTTAGTATACATTTTGTATTATTTCTTGTTGCAATAATTTTGGCTTGAATAGCCATGCAGAATTCTGTTTCACTGTAGAAGTTCCCTCTTATCAATCACATAGACCTTCAAACTCATGACCTATATGGTATTCATTATTGTGATGGATGGCTGCCATGAATGGTTTTTTGTATTAACTTCTGTTAGTAGATGTGATGGTTGAAGGTTTTATTGTTGGACCACATTATTTCCAGAACATATAATTTTTTTTTATACAACTGTCACTGTTTAAGGAATATTTTCCATGTCTCAATTTGTTGTACATGCAATTGAGGGTGATGAATCAGTTCAAATAACATTAATACAGGAGAAGAGTCATTCTTTCTATAACTGCTCCTCAGTTCATGCTGCATCATCCTCATACTGATTTTTCTCTTCATATCTTGAAGATCTATTCTGGTTCATTTTATAATCCTAAATGAGCAAGCTAAGATGAGGGTTAGATATGTGTTTAAAACTTATATTTATTATTTTATATTTATTATTATTACCCATGTCTGGAAGTGCCTTGTGAAAAGTTCAGAATGGCCATATAGGCTAGTATACTGTATAACTGTGTTAATTAAAATACCCCTAACCATATTCGCAGTTTAATGCAATACCTCTCTGCATTTTAACACCAGCTTTCCATCAACTGATGAATGCTAACAAACAAAGACTGATACAATCTACAATGCTGAAAAGCACAACAAAAAACAACCTCTTCCAGTTTCCAAGTAGTCTTGATTATATATTAATCCATGGTATTTTTCTCTTTCCCTCTTTTGTAGTTGTTAACTAGAAATAGATCAGTGCTGATCAAAAAAACTTTCTTCTTTCTCCTTGTTCAGAAGCACTACGACGGGTTGATTGTTGATGAGGAACTGGCAATCAATTGTAATTTTCCATCCCCAGTACAATTTGAACTAATCTTTCTAGA